CAGTGGCGAACGGCTCAGTCACTTGCTGACCAGGTTGGGATTAGGTCAGTAAGAATGGTGGAAGGGATAGTTAAGAGCTTTAAAGCTTGTTTCCCCCCACTATTCATTTCGGCTATAGATTCTGTTCTAATTGATGGTTTGGTATTTAAGACTTTTCCGGCATTAAAAGTTGTCCCAAAAAAACTGGAAATTGAAGAGAACACTAATATTTTTTTGTTAAAGGGGTTAGAATTTTTGGATTTCCAAAGTATGGGGAAGAAAATGATTTACCATATTTGTGCTAAATCAGCACACTTTGAACAGTTGAAGGAAAGAATAGATACTAAATGGAGGGCTTACCTTTCTGTGCCCAGAGATGTGAATCCCTCGTGGAGGCTGTTGTACAAACCTCCAATTCCTAAAAGATGTGGAGATCTACAGTGGAGAATACTTCACAGTGTGTTGGCTACAAACACCTTTGTTTCTAAATTCAATGAAATGGTTTTACCTGAATGTTCTTTTTGTAAGGCCTCTGACACTGTGTTTCATTTATTTTGTGAGTGTTCAAGGCTGGCTCCACTTTTTGTACTTTTGGAAAAACTAATTATGAAATTGGGATTTTCTTTTACAAACACCCTTTTTATCTTTGGTTGCAAGTATAAGCAGTCGTGGCGTGAACAGTGTGTGCTGGCCAATTTTTTAATGGGACACGCCAAGTTAGCAATCCTGAAAACACATCAATGTAAAAACGCTGGTCAAGATGTTGACTTGTTGCCTCTTTTTAAATCATTGGTAGAATTTAGGATTGCTATTGAATTTGCATATTACAAACAAACTGATAATGTACCTTTTTTCAAAATGAGGTGGGGGGTGAGAGATGCTTTAGTGACGCTGAGTGAGTTTGGAAATATGGTTTTTAATTGGTAAAATTGTACTATGTTTATTTATTTTCTGCTTTTCTCTGTAATGTCTGTAATGTTTTGAAAAAGGGTGTAAATTAAAAGTGGTTTAAAAGTCAAAAAGTCTCTCCTCTCTCTCTGACGTGTATCTGCCGTCGCTTTCCAACGTGATGCTTTGACGCCCAGATGTCTCTCCTGTGCCCGGCTCCTTACACACAGTTACACGCTGCATACTAATACACTTCAGCCTGAACTGGATGAACGAGACATACAAATGTCGTTTCATCTCTGTCACACGCTGATTCTCCTTCACGCAACATGTTGTGACATCCTTTTCCTCCCGTCTTTGCGCATTTAAGGACATTACGCACCGCCAAAGCGATGTTATTTAGGGCCACCGCGTCTTTACACCTCCACACTGCGTCGTTTATTTTGCTCGGAGCTTGTAATGAACGGTGCGCTTTGGACTGGAACGTGACGGGATGTTGAAGATAAGTGGACTATGAATGTGGACGAGTAAAAGCCAAGGGGGTTATGATGAGTGATCTTTCATATTGACACGTCCAGTGTGTGTGTGTGTGTGTGTGTGTGTGTGTGTGAGAGAGAGAGAGTGCGGGCGCGCGCGTGTATCCATCGCCTGTAGTCTGTAGATCTGTGTTACTGCGCCAGGATGGAGATGACGCAAATGACCCAGCTCCCCAAAAAGTGTTTCAAGACGAACATGGCGGCAACTTAACACAGGACCCACGATGATGATGATAAACAGCAGAGAAGATCGAAGGCAATCCGCCCAGATAGGGAAAGAGCAGCTCGTTCAGCGTCTCGCCTTCCCTTGAGGAGATACGGGGACACAGGCAGGAGCTTCGGGAACAGAGGAGGAATGTTGCCACACAGAAAGCGCTTTTTCTCCGGGGAGCCATGCGGAATAACAGAGATATGACCGCGCGCGGCTTCATCTAGCCCAGAGAGTCGCATACAGCTGCCGGGAGCGCTGTTGAACGGGAAGAACACATTTCAAATCAATGCATTTTGTGGCAGAGGAGCCGTCGCGGTGGAGTCGGCCAGTGCTGCTCTTTCCTGAAATATGACCAGGGGTGCTTGGACGTGTCGGCAGCAAGATGACGGCTTAAAAATCTGCTTCGCACCCCGAGAGGACGAAAAGCCATTATTCACCGATTCTGAAAGGGCCCAGAGATGGCGACTGTCCTTAGCCTCACTTTTGTTTATCACCGTTTTGCTCTCTGATCATCTGTGGTTCTGCGCCGAGGCGAAACTGACGAGGACGCGAGACAAACGGCTGGAGCACACGAACCATATACTTTCATCCAGCCATCAGAGAGAGCAGAGTCTTATTTTTATAGGCAATCCTACCAAACCTCTGTGGAGACTTGAAACTTGTCATCCTGACAGCCTCTCCAAAAACTGCTTGACTTTTGACGAGGCGGAAGCCGTGTGCTCGGGCCTCTCCGAGTGGAACCTAAGCGATTTCTATCTTTCTTTTTGTAACTCCTACTCGCTTTTGGATTTGTTTTACGGGTTTACGAGTCCAGACAATCTGACCTGTAGCCTGGACATGGCTGATGCGTTGGGATGCAGCCAGTGCGTTCAGGCTTACCAACGCTACGACCGACGAGCTCAGGAGAAATACCGAGAGTTTGAGCTTTTGGTTCAGAAATATGAAACGGATGTATATTCGGTGCGGACGTGTATGGAAGAGTGCACGGTAGGCGTACGCTGCCTTTCCCTTTGGTGTTGGTTTGTTTGTTGACGGCTTCTAACAAAAGCTGGTCATGTATGCTGTAATCACATTTCTTTCACGTTGAGCGTATGAGAAAAAAAGCCTCTTACATGTGTACGGTCTGTTTTGTCATCTGCGCGCGAGAACACGCGTGGATACACGGTGCGCGCGCACTTGTGGATTTACTGGAGATGGATTTTTTTGGCACCTTGAATGCACAAGTTTAGGTTAGACGGAAATGAGCTTATTGGAATGTCGAACAATATGTCTTTACTGTGTGGTGTGTTCAGGTGATTCCCCCCTCAGCTGTATCAAATATTATCCAAATTCACTAAAGCCTACTAATGGATGATCCATGACAGAAATAAGAAATGACGGGCAAGCTACACAAAAATGTAGCTAGCAGAAAACATCTAAACTAAACTCAAAGCTACCACTTAGAAATGTCAGCGTGTTTATAAATATACAATATAAAAAAGTTATAATATGTAATTTGATTTTGTATATATATATAACAATTGAAATCCTAAAATTGGAATACTATATTGCTAGTTATTGTGAGTGTGCTCACGTGACAACACTAGTTGAAAGAGGCAAAGGTGGGAATACCTTGGTACAGCATCAGATGGTAATGTAGTACTTATATTACATATCACGATATATAATGACAACCATATTCATGTACCTTGGAATAGCATGCAAATACCATGGTACAATACTTAAAATAATAAAATGATACATGTCCATGGTAATGAAGTGATTCGTTTTGGTACCTTAAGTGTTTTGTGTGCTATTAGTGTTGTCATATATTATTGTTTATATATATATATATATATATATATATATATATATATATATATATAAAAAACGTTTTAGTGAGCGTCATTGCTACTCTGCTAACTTAGCGTATAGCGTTGGGGGGCCTGGTTTTGGGCACTTTTCAGCTAGCCAGGCAGAAAGACAAGCTTAAACTAGCAAACCACCTTAGGTTTGTTTAACTGTTGTCACCGGGGTTGCTCTCATAGATGGCAATTGCCTCAGTATGGAGGGACAAAGCTGAGGGCATGTCCTCTCATTTGAAGCAGTCTGAGATTTATGATTCTAGGTGTCCTGCGATCTGCAAAGAGACAGAACAACAGAAAGACTGTGTGTGTGAGAGAGCCAGAGAGGTGGCGTGCTTTATGGAATTTCAATAACGTTAATAGTGCAGCAGTGATTTTTCTGCGTAATCCCCAGAAGGCTATTCTTTTCCAGTCATTATTCAGGTGTTTTTCTCCTCCTCTTCAGTCATGGTGATGAATAATTTTACTGTTGCACATGCATGAAATAGGACTGGTACTTATCCTGTACCTTAATAGAGCATTAGACTACTGAGCAGCTGCAGCCACCACAGCACAGAACAGCATATGAAACATGCCGTTGCCAAACGATTAGCTATATCAGATTTTTGAGTTAATATTTCCTGTGCTGTGCGATGAGAAAAAAAGGGCAACATGTCCTGCCAAACTGACTGCAGGACACTTTGTAAAGTACATTACCCATTACAGTGTTTCAATGAGTGTGCAGCAGATTGTTAGATCTTCTTCTTCTTCTTCTTCTTCTTATTATTATTATTATTATCATTATTATCATTATCATTCTCTCTATTCTCTCTCTCGCATCCTCTATATATATATATATATATACACATACATACATACACACACACATACACACATACATACATACACACATACATGTGTATGTATATATATACAGGTTTTTTTTCCCCAGGTTTACATTTGAGAGTGATTTGGTCCCTGTCCATGGTGCTGAAACAAGTACAAAATACAGTACTTAGTAGTGTTTGCTGAATAAGACACATAATGACACCTGAAATGTGCTGAGCATTAAATAAATAGTTTTATTCTGATTAATGCAATTTGCTGTTTTGGGTGCTACAATAAATTGTCTATTTCAGTCCATTCCAGTAATTTACTCAATTTCAAGGAGGGTATTTCTGTTAAAGCAACAAGCTGTGCAATGAAAAGGAGTGTTTTTATGCACACTGACAAATTAAAATTTGCTGAAAATTTGCTCACCCTCAGGCCATTCAAGATGTAGATGAGTTTGTTTCTTCATCTGAACAGATTTGGAGAAATTTAGCACATCACTTGCTCACCAATGGATCCTCTGCAGTGAATGGGTGCCTGACATCTTGAAGGGATAGTTCACCCAAAAATGAAAATCTGATGTTTATCTGTTTACCCCCAGGGCATCCAAGCACAAACCGATCGTTTCGTGTCTTAGGACATCAATGTGTCGTCACGAGCCGCAGGGTTTAATTTGGATTTGTCTGTGCATGTTTTTTTTACTCTCATAGATTTTGTTACCATTTCCATGCATTATACGACTGATAGACTGCAACGGCTGGACTTAAAAATCATAATTTGTGTTCTACTGAAGAAACAAAGTCACCTACATCTTGGATGCCCTGGGGGTAAGCAGATAAACATCACATTTTCATTTTTGGGTGAACTATCCCTTTAATGATGAAATTGTTTCTTACAAGCATGCAGCTTTTCATTTCACAAGACATTAGATGATGGACTCGAGTGGTGTGGATTACTTTATTGTGATGTTTTTAATCAGCTGTTTGCACTCTCATTCTGACCATTCACTGCAGAGGATCCATTGGTGAGCAAGGGATATAATGCAAAATTTCTCAAAGTCTATTCAGATGAAGAAACAAACTCATCTACATCTTGAATGACCTGAAGGTCAGTCAATTTTCAGCAAATTCACATGCCTACAGCCTATTATAGTGTAATCTATTTGAGACAATTCTGCCCTTAAACAGGAGGTATAAACAAAACAAACTGTGACTGGTCACTTTATGTGTCAATCAGACAGTCTCTTTCTGTCTAAGTGGGTGGTTCTTGGCGAGATACGCTGCAGTGTGAACCAGATCTTATGCCTTTAGTCAAACGTCTGGCTACACAAGACTACTTCTTCCCAGGAGTGCTTAGTGGAGACATGCTTGTTCTTACAAGGCTTTTTGTCAGTTAGAATGACTCTGACTGACTGATGTTGATTGACAGCTGCTAGTGGATGTGAAGGGGGCCCAGGTGTCCTCCTTTGAACATGACCAGGTTTTTATGTCCAAGGGTCAGTCTCACATCAGCTCTAGAAGAGACTTGAATTCATTATCCCTGTGAAGCCTGGCATATGAAGTAATAGTCTGTTTTTTTTTTTTTAGCCGTTTAAATCTTTAGACGAAAAAGTTTTTTTTGAGTATCATATTTGATACATCAGAATTGTATGGCTCATATGGTATGATGTAATGATAATGTAGAGCTCATATTATGGGGGGGGATAACACCATGATTTTTATACAGAGACCCAAACTGAGCGAAAATATGCAATTTGGTGCAGTTGCTGATGTTCTTATGGCCTAAAAGTTGAAATTATGATCGCTTGTAATGCAAATCAATCAGACCTTTATAACAATAAAATGCATATGAATATCAGTTGTCACCATGTCTCCTAATAATAGTATGATATTTAAAGGGATAGTTCACCCAAAAATGAAAATGACCCTATAATTTACTCACCCTTAAGCCATCCTAACTGTATATGACTTTCTTCTTTCAGACGAATCCAATCGGAGAGATATAAAAAAATGTCCTGGTTCTTCCAAGCTTTATAATGGCAGTGATTGGGTGTTATTTTTCATTAGTCCAAAAGACATCAAATGAAGCGCATCCATAATAAAAAAGTGTCCCACACGGCTCCGGGGGGTGATTAAAGGCCTCCTGTAGCAAATCAATGTGTTTTTGTAAGAAAAATATCCATATTTAAAACTTTATAAACAGTAATCTGTAGCTTCCACTAACTGTCGTACTTTCGTTCACAATAACACCGTTCCGGCGGATGAATACGTAGCGTAAGGTTCAGTGAGAAGTGATGAATGCAGAAGCTCAACGGAGAGAGCAAAACAAAACACTGGTCACTAATTACTGTAGAAGTACAAAACGAAGATTTGTAAAGAAAAATGTCGGAGGAGTTCGCAAAAAGCCAAGAGGAGTTTTCCTTTGCTAAAGTAAGGAAGCTTCCTTTGCTCCTGTAAACAAATGTTGGCTCTCCCGAGACTAGCATATTTTCACCGGACCTTGTATATGACTTTCTTCTTTCAGACGAATCCAATCGGAGAGATATAAAAAAATGTCCTGGTTCTTCCAAGCTTTATAATGGCAGTGATTGGGTGTTATTTTTCATTAGTCCAAAAGACATCAAATGAAGCGCATCCATAATAAAAAAGTGTCCCACACGGCTCCGGGGGGTGATTAAAGGCCTCCTGTAGCAAATCAATGTGTTTTTGTAAGAAAAATATCCATATTTAAAACTTTATAAACAGTAATCTGTAGCTTCCACTAACTGTCGTACTTTCGTTCACAATAACACCGTTCCGGCGGATGAATACGTAGCGTAAGGTTCAGTGAGAAGTGATGAATGCAGAAGCTCAACGGAGAGAGCAAAACAAAACACTGGTCACTAATTACTGTAGAAGTACAAAACGAAGATTTGTAAAGAAAAATGTCGGAGGAGTTCGCAAAAAGCCAAGAGGAGTTTTCCTTTGCTAAAGTAAGGAAGCTTCCTTTGCTCCTGTAAACAAATGTTGGCTCTCCCGAGACTAGCATATTTTCACCGGACCTTGCGCTACGCCTACGTCCTACGTCATCCTAGAGATTACGGTTTATAAAATTTTAAATACAGATTTTTTTTTTTCTTGCAAAAACGCATTGATTCACTACATGAGGCCTTTATTCACCCCCCAGAGCCGTGTGGGACACTTTTTATGGTGGATGGATGCGCTTTATTGGACTTCTTTTGGACTATTGGAAAATAACACCCATTCACTGCCAGTATAAAGCTTGGAAGAGCCAGGACATTTTTAAATATTACTCTGATTGGATTCGTCTGAAAGAAGAAAGTCATATAGACCA